GAGGCCGGCTGCCCTTCCTCTCGGCCCTCACGTCCCCTGGACGCTCCTGGTCCCCGAGTGGTCGCCGAGACCAAGCAGTTTCTCTACTGCTCGGGTGGCAGGGAACGGCTGCGCTCCTCCTTCCTGCTCAACTCCCTGCAGCCCAGCCTGACGGGGGCCCAGAGACTAGTGGAAACCATCTTTCTGGACTCGAAGCCCCTGCAGCGGGGGACATCCCGCAGGACGCGCCGCCTTCCCACGCGCTACTGGCGGATGAGGCCCTTGTTCCAGGAGCTGCTGGGGAACCATGCGCGGTGCCCCTACGGCGCGCTGCTCAGGGAGCCCTGCCTGCGTGGAGTGGGTGTCAGCGCCCCGGAAGAGGACACTGGCCCGCCGCGCTTGGTCCAGCTGCTCCGCCAGCACAGCAGCCCTAAGCACGTGTACGGGCTGCTGCGGGCCTGTCTTCGCAGGCTGGTGCCCGCTCGCCTCTGGGGCTCCAGGCACAACGAGCGCCGCTTCTTGAAGAACGTGAAGAAGTTCATCTCTCTGGGGAAGTTCGCCAAGCTCTTGAGTCAGGAGCTGACCTGGAAGATGAAAGTGCAGGACTGCGCCTGGCTGAGCCAAAGCCCAGGTGAGGAGGTGGGTGCCAGGGCCCTGCAAGCCCAGGCCCCATAACCCGCAACACAGTAGGTCCCCTCCTTCCCTTACCCCCACACGCCTTGCTTCTTGCTGCTGCTGAATGGCTCTGTCTGATTTCTCTGCCTCTGATCCGCTCTCCCACCCAGTTTGCATCAACCTACAAGACTTTTCAGGACTCTGGCAGGTTCTGGGTGCTGGGAATGGGCAGTAAGCACATGGAGCATGTGGAGTAGGGCTGTGGCAACAGGATGGAAGCATCCAGAGCTCTCCTGAGGGTTCCCGAACGTTATTCATAATCTCTTTTCTGACATTCATGTTTATCACCATGAAATAGTGCCCCGCTGAGACAGAGGCTGGGAATAGAATCCTCTTGCTGGGGGATGGGAGATAAAGCTCTGGCTTCCCAGATGCATCTGGTCAGCCAATACCAGATCCCAATGTAAGTTTCAATTGTGCAGCTGCTATGCCAGGGCAGGGCAGCCGGATGAGTGAAAAGACTGTGCCCTGCACAAGGACCCCGCCCCCACCCCCCACATCTCTTTAGGAAGGAAAGGGTCACCAGGGAGCAGCTGGACGCTCCTATGTCAGGGAAGTGGATGGTGGCAATGGGCGCTTCAGGAAGTTTTCTGTCAACCTAGCCTGGCTCTCCCCCCAGCCCTTTGGTTTTCTGGGCTTGATGATGAGGTCCCTCTGGTCCAGCCACCACTCAGCCCCTTCTTGGCCAGTACCCTCTTCGTCTGCGCACCAGTGCCAGGTGGTGGGACCAGC